GTAATTGCGTTCTAGTTGGTAAAAAGAAATAGTATGGAGGAAGTAAGTCGTAAAGTGTTTTGTCTCCGCTCAAACACCGACACCCACACTCACACTCTTCTTTTCTTCTGCGTTCTTGTGCAAGATTGTCATGTGTTGCATAGGTAAGAAAACGTACACAAGTTTTTACCGTCTTACATTTTTTCCAAATAATTGAGTCATTCAGCCAACGTATATAAACATGCGCATTGCTTTCACACAAATTGATTGTAAGGGTATTTGTTGTCGGCAATAGAATAGTGAAAGATTTAGATTTTGCAAATGAACGTAAGATTTTTGAATGAAAATTCAATTATTTCACAAAAGCTTTGCTTTTAGATTCTGACTGATAATTTACGGTGAATTTTTTTCAACACATGTTATTCATTTATAAAAAATGACTTGTCTCCATGTGGAGTCTGAGAATTTTCTCAAGTTAAAATTTTACTTAGGAATTATTATGAAAGTGAATGATGGAATAACCTTTTGAGTTTAGTAAAATGCATGCCGAAGACTCCAATGCTGCTTTCGTTGGGTCGTAGCTAAAGGAAAAACAGCTTTGTTTTCAAACATAATGCAAACATTCATTGAAACGATTCTTTACTTCCTCTATTGTATGGCCTATTTTTTATTGCGAAAAAATATAACCAAAAAACGAATGGCGATAAGAGTGATATCATCAGGCATCTACCTGCACTCTAAAACAGACGTAGAAAATATGAATGAGTGTGACTGTCGTTGTTTGAGCGGAGACAAAACACTTTACGACTTACTTCCTCCATACTATTTCTTTTTACCAACTAGAACGCAATTACGGCTTAATTGCGCCACAATTTTATTGTAATCAAACACATGTTTTCCTCTCTTCATAATTTTAGGCTGAACATAATAATTCACTTCATTTTTTGTTTCAGAGCATTTTTAAATAATTGTTATGGCTTTTACGCAACGTCTTGCAATTCATTTTCGCGACATACAGAAGAATCCACCTCCTTTATGTTATGCAGAACCTGAAGACCCTGGTAAAAGCATGATGCATTGGATTGGCTGGATTGAAGGACCACAAGACTCTCCTTATGCTGGTGGCAAATTTCGCTTGACAATCGACTTTCCTGTCGATTTTCCATTTAAACCACCTGTGATTCTATTCATCACATCAGTTTTTCATCCAAATATCAGTACAAAAGGTGAAATCTGCTTGGATATACTTCATTCTCAGTGGTCTCCAGCGTTAACCGTACGTGGCCTTCTGATATCGTTATGTTCGCTGTTGACGGACCCAAATCCAGAACATGGACTTAACAGAAATGCGCTGAAATTGTATCGAACAGATCAAAAAAAGTATTACGAAGCAGCGAGAGAATGGACAAAGAGATACGCTATGGAGGATAGTAATTGAAAGAACTGATAAGGTGATGTCATTTATGAACAGACATTGCTTCAGATGTAAAGAAAACATCCCAAGAAATCATATGACTCGTCCATATCATTTATTATACTTCAGAATTAATAAACTCTTTTTTTTATTTTGATTGACATAGCTGGATATGAGTTTGTTCATGATCTTTGAAAAGAATCCATTCTTGAATACACATATTTGTACACAAGGAAGAGAAAAGAAATTTTTCATTCTTAAACAAACTTTGTAAAACTAAGTGTCCAAAAATAAATACATAAGCGGGTGTGGGGTGTCAGCGAGGGAGAAGGATCAGAGCAGATTCAGCAAGAAGGCAACAAGTCCATGCCATACCTATGCCTCTCACAGCTTCACACCCATAGCCACACCCGACCCCAGATCACACGTACATTCAGGCTCTTTTCCTGCTCTACCATGTGAACTTCTCTGATAGCTATTAAATGGTTCTTATCATATTTAATATAGAACCGTCACTATAACATTTGTTAACAATAATTTGAATATCGACATCAGAATGAATTAAATTATGATGTGCGTGTGGATATTGATATGGGTGTGTGGGTTCATTGATGTAGAAATTGGATGATGTAATTTAGAAAGGGAAGTTTTTTTTCGTAGATATGTGTACAGTGATTCAAGCTGGAGATAGAATCGCTCTCATTGGTTACCTATTGTTGCTGAAAGTTTACCCTTACTCAAGCACTCACTTTCCTTTCATTATTTCTTTCGAAAAACATGACATAGCGTACTGGTAACATGCTCGATTAAAAATCGAGTGATCAGGGTTCGATCCTGTGCAAGATCACCATACTTTCTTCGTAATTTCTCGAACTTTCTAGCTCGAGACTATATACACCGATTTTCGGCTCATGTCATACATCTAAACAGCTCTATACCACTTTCTATTCAGAAATTGCTCTTGAGCTTGTATGATAGTTCTCTTTGCCACCAGCAGCTGTATGTTTGCTTGTTTCGTTCGTTTGAATATTAAATACGAACGACAGTATATAGAGTTGGTGGCGGATTTTCGGATCATATCGACGATGACCAGTATAAAAAGAAACATACATGCTGGTCGCAGATTTTTTTTTTCGTATTTTAGTAGTATGCAGGATATTTGCGTTCTCCAATTACCAGCTTGATGCTTCTAAAACTGTACAGTTATACAACCGAAAGCTATTTGTCTACATCAATAAAATAAATTCATCGAAGAAACAATCAGAGTCTGTTCGCTGAAAAGAAATCCTTGCTGCTGTACATCACAGCTCAAAATAATTAATTATTTTCGTGTTACAGCAGTGAAACAGACTAAAGAAATATAGTAGTCACAAAGTTAATAATGCTAAGTAAAACTCATAGATAAATTGCTTCGTCAATGATTGTTTGAAATTAAGAATGATTATTGTCTTTTCAAGCGAGCAGCTAATCTCATCATATTGCTATTATAAAAATCAATTAGCATAAATAGTCTAATTAATCCTAACTCGCTTTATTGAATTGAAATATGATAGAAACAACAGTAATAAATCAACATGAATCGATCTCTTCTAGGATCAGAATTCAGTTGAGAATTCGAGCTCTGATAATATTGCAAGTAACTCACGAAAACTTGTAAATGTACATAGTTTACTCGTGTCACAGTAGGGATATAGTCCTAGCTGTACATGCTGATAAATCAACAACAAGCACTCAACGTTTTGTTTTAAAAACGTAATATTTACAACACGATGCTAACTCTATTAGGATATTTTGTACATTGTAAAACTATCAAGGATACACATTGAAAATTTTCATTATTTTCTAACGGGAACGTTACGCATGTTAGTTTTATCAAGTGATTCTTATCAAGGCATAAAAGAAACGTCGATTTAATGCGCACAATTTCGATTTGTTCTTTCATGCAGCGAAAAACGGTGTGTTGTCATACAGAATACTTGCATGACTACCTTCATATGCACAGTGAAAAAATTTCCATTAGTTAATGAAGAATGACGCACTTTAATAATCCTCATCTGATAAACGAAAACTGAATCATCAAGAATTCTTAATGGTGTCAAACTTTTTCGATCTTATTGAAATAGCAAACTCTTGAATAAATACTGTGCAGAATAACAAACATCTATCAATATCGACTAAAACTATAAGCTGAAAACTGTCTCATGACAGGTGGACTTTATTGTTTATTTTCCCCAGGTACTCTATCCTCACTGACGTCCGCTATTAGATCTATTCTTATGATTGAAATTATTCGTCGTGTGGGTGTGGATGTAGGTGTAAGTTTTCATTCTCCCACACCTCACCCACTCCCAGCGATAGTCGCACGCACACTCTATAAAATAATAAACTGACCCAATCTAGACAATCCAAATAATAGTCAAATTATCAAGGACTTGAAGTTCTATGAGAATTTGTAAACACGTCTGTAAAAATGTTTTACGGAATTATTTGTTTCAAAAGAAAACTAACGACTAATGAGATGTAATTTTATGTCAGTGGAGTAGTCAGGAGTAGGACCATTGAGTAATTGCCCACGGCTCCAACAGCTATTTCTCAAGAATATTTTTGAGATGCCAGTACAGCTCAATGACGAAAACTTTCGATGAACATGTAAGTTCGCAGAGTTTTGTGATGAAATATTAATAGATTATCTCTTGTTGTGGCCTGGCCAAGTGAATTGAAAAGAGCATTCGACGATCTTTTCCATTTAGAACATAAATGCATGCTTAACAATCTTTCCAAGCGCAAAAAATCATATCGAATGGCTACAAGTGCAGTATTTTTCACTAAGCATTTTAGTGATGCAGATGTTGACACGACAGTCACAACATAAAAATAAAAAAATGCAACGAGCTACATATAAACTCTTGAGGAAAACCGACCGAACGCACGAATGAAAATGATTTGAAGAATTCATCAATAACTAAACATTAGACTCATACAAAAGATTGTTTTAGGTTTGGACGAAACTGTTAATGATGAATACAGAGTAGTCCTCTCCATTCTCTGACGAAATAGGGCAGACTAAAGCTTGATATCACTGTCGAAGCATAAAAACGGAGGAGAGAATAATTAGGAATTCATCGTCATTCTGCCTCCAGAGTTAATGGTAGAGGGACATTGTTTAACACTTGAACTATAAACTGCTAAGAGGAAATCTCTTCTTGTACAGTTCCTTCCAGTACAGTTTCGTTCAACGTTTGAAGATTTTCGTTTCGTAAATAGTATCTTTCAATATTTTCTTAATTTGCTTAATCTTCTGTTTATTTCAAGGAATTTTAGATTTGTTCAATGAAAATTTTTTGTTCTATTCTAAGAGCCACTGTCTTCGACTCCATGTTCTTCTCAACAGATGCGCAATTCATAAGTTTAATACGATTGCTTGTCGTGACGCAGCTAAAGATTTCCAGAGTATAGAAAAAATTATTCGCTGCATGACAGTTTTCAGCAAATTTGGCTAGAGAAAAACCGATGGTGGACATCTTTTATATCTGTGTCGAATAATTTCTTACACTTGCCGGAGCTTTGAAGCCAGATATCTACATGCGTTTCTTTATAAAAAAAGATATGGTTATCGTGGTAATTTCTACATAAAAGATAATAAGGCATTTTATGGTTGAGAAATACCTTGGTGAAGTCGAACCAAGATGACGAGCAGACTTGTCTGTTAGTTAAAGATTGTTGACTTTCTCTTCGATCAATATTTGCTTTGAAAAAGATAAGAAGTTCTGAAAAGCTATAACCCAGTTGACTTTTCAATTGACCATGGATGCCCAAACCTCTAAATAGTTTGGTTCGGGAATAGCTCAATACTTCAAAATTCTTGGTTACGCCATTGTTTTATTTAATATACTCTAATATTCTCTTCACAGAAACATAGCAGATAAGAAAAAAATGTCGAGACTGACAGAGCATTTGAAGGGCGATCAGGATGTATTTTGCCTGTGGACTACCAAAGCATGAGTACTTTGTTAGAACAATGTGTCTGTATAGGCGAATTATTAGAAAAAAAATTTGATATAGTTTTTGCTTTTCAGAGATATATATGTACATAAATACATAAATGCATCGTTACATGAGTAATACGGGATATACATATTCTTGTGGCTATATATTACTTAGGGCAGTTGAAGAGCAGTGGCAGTGACACTTTCATACCGTATAGTAAGCTTTAAGAAACTTTCTCTCGATAGAATCTGATAGAGAAAAGAATGCTCTATTTTTCTATGCTATTTGATTGTACTTCAACTAATATTCTAATAATAAAATTTCGATGAGACCTGTTTTTCTATCATATGGGACAGTTATACTATATGTTTCGAATAATATTTTTAGAGAAACAAGATAGACAGCTTCGGATTTCACCGTTGAAAAGCGGAGATGAAGATACATCGAATTGTATATTGTAGATTTGTTGACATGGCTTTTTTAATGTTTTCAATTGATCTCTTTGAAAACAAACCTACTCCTTAACGTGTTTACAGCGAACTCTCAATTATCAGGTGTGTATTCAAACCACCAATGGAAGGTCTAAAAAACTGCACAAGATCCAGATATTTAGAGTTAATCATTCCGAAGTTATAGATGTTCTAGTCTCCCCCGGACAAAAAGGTTCCTGTTTCTATTGCATTTTTGCAACACTTAATGCATTGTTTAAAAAAAACAAAATATGCTACAACATGCAGCGTGAAAAGAGCTACACTTTACAGAGTAAAGCTTATTTTAATTGTGTACTTTTCGTTTTCAAAAAAAGCAAAATTTAGTGCGACCAATTTTCGACGCTGTGAAAGGATCATTTTTCTACACCAATGAGAAATTCCTTTTTTCTTATTTTAATAAACTGTTCTATGTAAATGGTAGAGCTTTGCACGTTGCATCTTGTGGTATATTTTGTTTGTTTTTAAACAATGCATTAAGTGTTGCAAAAATGCAATAGAAAAATGAACTTCTTTTGTTCGGGGGAGAGTCAAAGCTCCAAGTGATTT